AAAAAAAAAAAAAAATGAAAAAAACCGCCAAAGTTCTAGGTGAGGCTTGATTTTCGGCAGTAGACGAGCTTGTGGTGAGTGGAAACACAGATGAGCGACCATATGCGGCCAACAGAGCGCGTAGTAAGCAAAGACGGATATCCATATTGTGGGCGGGGCTAGACTATGGAGGGCGCGGTTCACCTCAAGTTGCGAGCTCTTGACGTTGTTAGCACCAATTTCGGGTGAGATGTGCTGACTAGGGAGGATCGTTTACCCGAAAGAATTGACACCAATGAGGCAATCGCGAAAAGTTTCTTCACAAACTCAATAAGAAACCTTCTTCCGTGGAGTTTCTTCAGCAACCTTCTCTTTTTTGCCACTTCCCTTAGGTCGACCACGATTTTCCGTCTTGGTTTTATGGGGCGTCGCAGCAGCTCTACGACCAGAAGCTGTTCCATTTGAAGCCTGCGGTTGCTGCGGCGCAACATCATGATTTGGCCGCTCCTGAAACATTTATTTAGCATTGAAAAGTTGGTTTTGAAGGACAAAAAACTTACTTCGCATGACGCCTTCCCACGAAGGGAATTATTGAACTGCATCATATAGCAATTCGGATCATCACCACAGGCACATTCAACTGGTACGAGGGTGTCACGGAAATCACAATCGAATGGTATCGTCACCTGAAAAAGTGAAATGTCAATAAAGATATGAAAAGTGGAGTCCATTACACGAAAAATACCTCAGTTCCCTTCTCGATTCTTTCCGAGGCCACTAACATGACGTAGATACTTCCATTTAACAGCACATGTTTGAGGGTAGAGTTAGATCGGCAACACCTGAACATTTCACGAGTAAACCGACAAGTTCGACAAAGTTGCTGGAAACCTAAAGACAGCGGGCACGGCCTTCCGCCAACAACGCTGGAAACCACCGAATGCCTCCAGCAATCGTGCCCACGGTCTTTCAATATAGGAAATGTAGCATTACCTGCGGGCGAATCGAGCATCACTTCCCTGACGACGAGCATCGATACACAGAAGGTTTTGGCCAAGACCATTGTATAAAACACAGTATGGCTGCAGTGCACCACGCTGCAATCTTCCTGGACATTCGTCCGGTAAGCAAACATGCCCCACATATTCCATTATGACGTCATCCTGCTTTATGGCTTCAGTTGACACAAGACCTGAGAATAACCATAAGTTCATTGGCAGTGAACCTGACAAATGAGTCGAAAAAATACCTTCAATATCCGGAGCGACGAACATCCGCTTGCCACGCTTCAGGTCTCGTGAATTCTCCAAAATACTCTGAGCGCCCGCAGTTGTATCGAACAGTGCTAGCATCTGTTTCGCTCGCTTCGTGTATTCGTTACGAGAGATCGTTAGGAACTTCTTGAAAGCTGCAGGACCTCTTTTCGCGGTCTTAGCGTGCTGAACACAAAATGGACAGTGAGTTCTACAGTTTTTCTTTGAAGACACTGTACAGGCACCTGAGATACGGGGATCTTTTCCGTGCACGAGCTGTGCAGTTCCGTGAGCAGCAGAAGACTAGCCCCACGCCATTCAAAACTACGCCAAAAAGCTTTTGATAGCCTGTGGCCTGTACTCCTGTCCCCCCCACCTGTCCTCTATGTCTCCGCCCACCATTCACTACGAGATACACTTGCCAAGGCCACAACAGGAACAGCTATAGTCAAGCGCCCCATGGCTTCATCAGGCGGATTGCTGGCCGTATGGCGTGTGGCGGGTTCGTTGCGCGTGTGATCGAATGGTGATCGGAGATCTAGGGAAAACAAAGCTATCGCAAGTCTTTCGAAAAAGCCCAAGTGCTCCACTTTTGCTGCTGTGCGCCTGCCCATCTTGCACACAGAAGTATCCAGCTATGAGGTAACGTACACTGTTCTTTTGAGACCGCAGTAGAATTCTTAGAACTGATACGATAAAACAATAGGATGCATTAGGTCGGAAACAGGCAAAAAATCGTTCGCGAAGATTTTTTGGTGTTTCGGAAGAAAAATATCCTACGAGCCGAATCCGTATCTAATCTGTTGAGTCCACTCAAAGTATGTCTGAAATCTTCCGGGCTACAACCCGAGCGTAACAGAACGTCACCCAAGAGCGGACCATGTTAGTGCAAATAAGAACATTTGCTTCAGGAAGCCACCTTTTTGGAGCGAAAGTTTTTGCACTCTCACTTTTCTTCCAGGTTTGCTCAAATGCATCCTCATGATCAGACCCAGAATTATCACTTACGTTGCGTTCCTTCAAACGTTGGTTGAGCTTGGCACGTTTTCGTTCTTCTCGCCTCCTCAATTTTTCGGCCATCTTTCGTTCTTTTTCACGTGAAACAGCTTTCAATTGTTTCAGCTGAAAATACAACACATTATACGACGAAAAACTCAATAGGCATTGTGCGGTTAGAAAGGTGATCCTTTCTGTGGGGAGGGGCACGAACGCAGCCACCGATGTCTGGCACTTTTGCCACTCGACTGTACATCGCAGCTACTGGTTTGTGACTGCTTCATGTTGTATGCTCTGGTTGACTGCGTCCTCTCGCTGAGAGTGTTCGCTGGGCTTGATCCGTAAGGCCACTTTCGAGATGATATCAGATTCTAATCCGGAACCAGTTGAAAAAAAGCCTCACAACTTTCACAGCAAAGTTACTGCACACTATATCAAGGGGTATATGACAAGAAAATCGTAATATGCCACGCTGGTGGCGAGTGGCGCCACGCCCCAAGGACGAGTTTCCCTGTGCGGTCTTTCGAATCTAACTGTTCAAGAAACGGGGAAATTTTATAAAGCCCGCCATGCAGTCTTGTCTTCCTCTTAACTCATACGAATTTCGCTGATCCCATTGAAAACTAATACCCATTGGAAATTAGTCGCTTATCACCGCACCATACGCCGCGCGCGACGACGCGGACTGTCTTGTCCGCCTCCCATCTCAGGCAGCGTTCAGACTTCGCGACGGCAGCGCTTCGGTCGCGCGTTCGACGCGATCGATGCAGTCGAAAGCATGCGCATCGATCGCGCCAAACGCGACCGAGGCGCTGCCGTCGCGAAGTCTGAACGCTGCCTTGATGACCGGTCGCCTGGCGTATGAATTAGTGGATGGAGTTGCCAATAAAATCAAGCTAGTACAAGCCTCTAACTACATTTCCACCCAATTTCACTTGACAGCAAAGGTAAACTTCTGCAGCTGCGTACCTACCCACGGAAAAAAAGTTCACCTCTCAAGCAATCACCTGTCTTTAATTTATATATAGCTGTTGAACCTGAAACTAACCTGCAATTCTTGAGCTTGTTTCTTTGTCCACTTGAGTGGTCGTGGCTTACAATATTCACAGAGGTAAGTATCATTTTGATTGAACTTCTTTGGATCAATTCCCATACATTTCATATGCTGCCAAACACTGAAAAAGGGAAATCTATTTCTTTCCAAAAGATAGGTTGGTTCCCAAAAGGTATTTCCCAACAGGAGGTTCCCATAAAGGTACTTCCCAACAGGACGCTGTGAGTAATAAAACCGTCAAAATTAAAAACTACATACTTGCACTGTTCACATTCCACCATCCATTCGTCATTGTGCTGCATTTCACACAGGCATCGTGTCACATAGTCTCCCCATTCAGCTTCCTGCACATTTTTTTGAATTAGGAATTTTGAGAGATAAGTTTTAAGGCAATCATTACACGAACCTCCGCAGCTTCTTCCTTCGTCACTGCTAGGATCAGTGCTAACATTGGCGAGATCATCTTCTGGGGAAACTCCATTGACTCCTGAGCTTTAACTTGTTAGAGAGAACCCAAATCAAAGGGAGAAAAATAGATATAAAGTATCTAATGACCAAAGTCGATCCCCACCTCTTCGTGGGTAACCCGGCGAAAGTGGAGATCCATGGTCCAAGGGAGTTCGTTGGGCTGTGTGAGGTGACTGGGCTAAGCCTGGGCTTTGTTGATACGTGCTACGCAACGTCTGGGCGCTTGATATGGGAGGTAATGGTGGAGGTAATTCTGGTGCCATGGATCCATCGTACGCCTAAATGTAGCTCTTTCAGTACGGACTTTAACATGTGCTTCCACTAGACTTGAGCTTCGCGGCGCAGTTCGGCTTGGTGGGAGCATTTTGCTGATTCCCCCTGATTATTGTTATGCCTTCTGTGGAGACCTGTAAACCCCTGTGAAGCTATGCAATAGCACGAGCTCCATTTGAAGTTGACAAGAGTCTACAGGTTTTACCAAGGTGAGAGGTGCAACTTGACAGGAACTAGCGGATGGGCAAAATGCCCCTACCAAGCCGAACAGCGCCAGCTTTCGCAGGAAAAGTCCAGTTCAGCTGGGCTTACAGTGATGGGCACAATATTTCCTCTAACCGAGGAACGTCCAGCAACACGTGATGATTGGTAATCAGCCGCTCTCGTGTTTCCATATGGTCCTTCAGAGATGTCGTGGTGCAATGGCGTAGTACCTGTCGCGGCTAAACTCGTATTGCTGCTGCTGCTCAATGATGATCGTGTTCTGCCCTGAAACAGGAAAGGATTGCCAGAAGGGAGACAAGAAAAGGTAGATGGAAAACCTTACCGATCCTCTCGGTCTTCCACGGCCTCTTGGAGCTACCGTACTTGGGCCTCCCGTCTCCATTTCCTCCCCGCCACTGAAATGGGTTTCAGTTCCAGAGCGTCGCCGCGTCACGGTAGATACATCACTTCCTGGCCGCTTTCTTTCCCTCGCTTGTGCCTCGGATTCCATCTTTTTCTGTTCCATTTCCTGAAAAAATGATCATGACTCAACGCGAATATAAGGAATGCATCGTGAATACACGCCTGAGCGATTTCGCGACTAATAGCTTCAATCTTCGCCTTGATATCCTCAGCTGAAATGTCGTTATTAGTCCATTGTGGATGGTTCATATCCGTCTCAGCAGACAGTGAAGTGGCAGCAGCAATGACTTCGGGAGGTAAAGTGGAATTCTGAAGCAGCATTCCACTTTCACTAGCAATGGGGAATCCACTTCTATTGAACAACGGAAATCTGTAACAAACCTTATTCACTTCAGATTCAGTATAGCTCTGAGAAGCGGGCTCAGCGTCGTCCACAAAATTCTCAGGTAGAGGTGGCGTCTCCGGGGAAGTTGTATGGATCGTCCTCTAAAAAGAAGAAACCTTTTGAAATGATGTTTTGCACAGTCGGTAACAGATAGCGGACCCCATCTACAATACCTGTGAGGTGGACGTTTCTGCGCGCGAGATAGGGAGGTCCGCAACATGGGATGTATGGTACTAGCGCCAGTCGAAAGAGCTCGTCAGAAAGTTAGAAGCTTTGGATACTTTGATGTTACTGGTGACTCCGCCGGACATTCGCTACGCGACGCGCACGCCATACGCCACATCATACGCCTTTATCAGCGCCTGACCATGGCCAGACAGCTGGCTGCGCAGCGTGACTGAGGCGTGCGTGTCGCGCGCCTTTCGGAGACATAAATAGCACCTAGTTGCCACAAGCATCTAACTTCACTCTCCGCTGCGAAAGTGCTACGACTTCACTGCTGCGAACCTACGCACCTCGCGCTCAGATAAGAGCCATGTCCCTCACACCTACATTCAGGTAACGATTCCCCGCCCGTCACCATACAGCAGTAGGTAAGTGTAGTTAATCAAACTCTAGGCTCGGCATCGCACCCGAACCAGCCCATCCTAGCTAGAATTTTGGTCACTACGGATGCTGGATGGGGTCGAGAGACTGTGTTTGACGCGGCGCCAGCTCATTATCCTCCTGTCGTAGAAAAGGGAAGAGAAAATTTGGGGTGAAAACGTGATGAATCGACCGCGCCGAACCCGGCCCCTCAGAACCCAGGTTCCGTAGCGAAAAAGACGTCAATCGACCAAACGCGCCAAATGGAGTAGGTCATAGTAGACAACGTTCGCGGCGCCACTGCCGTCAATAGCAGTTTCAGACATGGTAGTCCGCCCGCAGAGTTTCGCAGCAGAAAAACACCTAAAGAGAGCACGACCCACTCACTACAAGGCAACGGCCTCCGCCGCATGGCCATTGGGCAACGCCCGCTTTCATTCTGAAGAGCTTCCGTTGCTTTGCCCCTGCCTACTTCCTCTCTTTCGACGCCATGGCTGAGCGTGTGGAGGTTAACCGGAAGGAGTCTTACGTCAACAGTTAGAACCAACACGCTTCAGGTCTTCGTTCTTCACACATAAGGACGCAACAAAGCAGTCCCACATGAGGCATTTCAGATAGTTTGGTTCTCGCCTTTCTTTCCTTATTGTAATCGAACCATCTTACCATTAAGTATGTTGATCCGCACGACCCACCACTTTTGAACCTGGGGCGTGTTCTCCACTCACAATGAAGACTTACCGATGGTGAGGTAATACTCGCTATTGGCGCGGGAGCTGCAGCATGAGGCGCTACTGTAGGAGCTGGTGCACGAACACGAGCTGACGTAAGCCTTGATGGTGACCGAATTCCGGGCTGATGTGATGGTGAGTCGACATCGGGTGTAGGGGTTGCGTGGCATTCCTTGCATGCGAAGAGGTGATGGGCGTGCCCACCAGCACGGAGACAACAGGCCAACACCGCTCACGAACAAATGCACACCTAGAAAGGAAAAAACTATAGTATGACAAATATGACAATCACTGTATGAAATACCTCTATTCAGTACTTGGAAGCGCATGTTTCAAGGCTGTACAAAAGGGCAACACTAACAACAATGGGTGACATTCAAGCCAATGTTACAAAAAAAAAACATGCGAGCGAGCTTGTCGACAAAAATTCGACCTAACCTGCTTCCGTGGAGATGCTGGCGTCGTGCGGTTGCCATGCACTGGTGTATTCAAAGGAATACGAGGAGTAGCTTGAGGTGAATGAGCCGGAGATGCCTCTTCTCCCGACACACCACTGGTACTTTCCTTTTTAGCACGTCCCGTCACACTTCCTCCTGCTTAAATACGAATTTAAAGCAATTCCGAGCAATGGACATCATCCGCAAAACACGAGAGACGGTCAAGACAATCGCAATTTGCCGCTCTATCGCGCGCGCCGCTTTCCTAACTTGCGTTATCCTATTTATTGGAGCACGAAATTTCAAGCAGTACGACATCGTAGGCATTTCATTGCTATCTGGAGTTATACAATCGCCTATTATCCCCATCCCATCTGCGACAAAAACAACGCCATTTGCGAGCGCGACGTCGCACGCGGCGCTCAACAGCGCAGCGAACTATGACTGTCTTGTCTCATACCCGTAAAACCCTGATATAACTCACCTCTTCCACGAACAACTGGTCTAGTTCCGCGACTAGTTACTAGCAACGGGGCAGGAGCATTTGCGAGCGCAGCTTGGCTCGGATCTGCAGGTGAAAAAGCCACACGGGATCCGCTACCTGACTGCACCAAAACGACACGATGTGAGGTATCGGGTCCTTGATGGAAAGATCTGCAAGGACTTTAGGTAGCATTTTGGAAAAATATGACATGAGAATATTCCAACCTGTGCGGTGGAGGATCCACCTGGCGTTGCACTGGCGGTGCCGCCACTACTGCTGACGATTGGCGTTGACTTGGCTGCTGCATGGATACATGCGGAGCACTTCCGCTCATGCGCTGGCTAAAAACATAAGCATCACAGAATGAGAAAAACTGTGCTTGAAAGTAATCAGTGCAATTTTTTAGTCTGCGCTCATACCTTGCGTTAACGGTTCTGAGCGACTGGGTGTATAGATATCGACCTAGCGTGAGTTTGGCGCGATAATTTTGAACTTTTCGGGGGCAATCACTCATGACGCTACATCGATCGATACCTATACCTTTCCAATTGCTCGAAACACTGCCGTACACACCAGACGCCCAAAACACTGACGCTGCTCAGAACGCCGACGCAAAGTATGAGCGCAGCCATAGGAACTCATGGACACCATCGGAAGAAAACAATAACTACGGTACCGAAAAACTTTCAAAGACCAAAAATTATCAGTTTTCATAGCTCTGTTGCATCTATTGGCTTTCAAACTAATAAGTTACCAACTTTTCGTCGAAATTTATATTTCATCCATAGGAACCCAGAATTTTGGTAGCAAGGTGGGGGGAAATCCAACG